TGAAGGCGGAGATAATCCAATTAAGTTGTGAAAGTTGGTCTGAATGGCGATTAGTTAAAATCGGGTAGAAGAGACGGAATTCTTAGGGCTCACTAAAATCAGAAGCAATGAAAGGTAAAGCTCCGGCAATAATGGTGATATCTAGGGCTTGTACCATATATGGTAGCATGAGCCCAGCAGTTAACCTCCATCTATATCGTCTGGATGCTTTCTTTTCTTGTATACAAAGACTGCATGGTTCTCCGGAAGATATACCAGCTTGTGGCTCACTTGTACCACCCTCTCTGCCTTCACTGTTTCTTGCTTGAGATCCGAGAAGAATTGCTGACTCTTGCTCTGTAGTGAAATCTAGGGATCCGTCTCTGTGTTTGCACAATTTTAAAGGGCTTGAAGATTTTGAATTTTCGATCGAGGGTCCTGATGGAGCCGAAGGAGTTTCCCTTGTTGCTTTCCATTTTTTGTACAGATAAATGGCCATCTCCACGCAAAAAGGCACGAATAAGCAAACTAGAGAGCTGAAAAAATTCGAACAAAAGTATTAAAGGAGCTGAATATAACGTATGAGAGCACTGTAAGATAATTGAAGTTGATTTGGTTTACAACACAATAGTAAACCGGAAACATGACGATTTGTGGAAAATATAAACCACCATTAATGTCAACTTCATGGTGGCCAAACTAGGAAATTGAGAGGCTTTGATACCAAGACTGTACAATTAATCCCACCCAGCTGAGCCACTTTTGAATATCCACAGGGCTGCGTGAATATTTAACTTCATGTAAAATGAAGCATAGGCGCCAACGAACTTCATGATAGCCCAATTAGAAAATTTTGATGTCTCCATATTACGACTATACAATGAGTACCCACTTAGCTGAATCACTTTAACTGGGTAGCTGGACGACTTCTAAGAACTGTGTAGCCTTATATAAGGCATCAACATCATAAATTGGCATACAGTACAGTTGGCAATGCCTCCTTTTGCCAGTGTAAGGAAAATGGAAAGACCAAGGAAGATCATTCATTCGTCCCTGAACATTGTTGTTTTCATTCGGTCGCCAAATTGTCGGTGCATGCTGATGTGCCTTGTCAGACTAATTTAGTGGCCCCATAAATACAGCAGTTGAAGAACTCCGCAGGCGTGTTTATCCGTTTTCATTGGTCAACTTCCTCATACCCTCTAATAGGAAATATAAACGAGAAAAGCTCGACCAATTGCATTGAATAAACCTTTCACGTGATATGCTTACCCTTTACACCGTAGACGTCAAACAAGACTGACCTGTCCCAATAATTTGCTTTGAAGATCTCACATTCATGTTGGAGTTTCGCTGATTCTCTTGGCTACTTTAATAAGATTGTATTAATCAATATACATACTTCTTCCATCCCTTTCGAGGCTACCATTGCGAAGAGTGAAGCGATCCCCGTTTGATTTCCTCACATTTGCGTTGTCACACCGGACATCATCTAAACTATTTGCCAAAACAACCGCTTACGGCACTTGTCCCCAATATTGTGATTCTGTTTCAGTACATCATCCTCTAAAAGGACCGGGAACTTAACAAGGGTCGGTGGAGTATCAAGCACCTGATTCTGCTGCTCAAGCCAACATCGCTGGTCAACTATGGTTTTTTGTGGTCGTCCCTCTAAAGGATGCCATGCATGCCGAGCTAAAAAGACAAAAGTAGGTTTGTTTACAAATTACTTGATCTGGCGCACTTTCCGCATGCGAAGATTCACCATGTGTCTATATCAGTTGCTGACCAACAAATCGTAGTGTGATGCAGTACCCACTGGGTGCACTCAGTGTTCGAATGCGGGTCGAGAATGCCCCGGGTATAGATCCCAAGTTGATCTAATTTTCCGAGAGGAAACTAAAAACGTCATTAAAAAAGCAAAGGTTAAACACGAGAAAGTCAAGCAAAAGAGGGTGGAACTCGTTTCTCAAAACTCCACTACTTCTTGTTCAACCACCCCCTCGCCATATTCAAGTCAAGGAGACTCACCGTGCGATATCGTTAAGTCCTCGCAATTCAACCAGGTTATCTCTGTCAACTATCTCAACATAACGCCATCAATTGAAGATAGAGCTACCGCATTCTTCCTATCAAACTATGTAATAGGCGATAATGGTCCAACTCGGGGACACCTTGATCATCTTTCCGATTTGTACGAATCTGATGGCATAGATGATAATCTTGTCGCCGCAGTCCAAGCAGTGGGTCTGGCCGGTTATGCACACTCGGCGAAAGCTCCCCATCTTATCAACCAAGCCCGCGCACAATATGCCAAATCGCTTCAGCTTACCAACACTGCCCTTCAATCGCCAACTACCGTCAAGAGAGACAGTACCTTATTAGCGATATTGATCCTCGGTATCTTCGAAACTATCACAGGTTGTAACCAAAAATCAATGAAAGCATGGGCAGAACACATTCATGGTGCCGCGGCAGTTGTCAAGCTTCGGGGCCCGGAAGCCATCAAGAAAAGCGGGGGCATACGCTTGTTAGCACAAGTGACTTCGAGCCTGCTGATATCATGCATCCAGAGGGATATCCCACTACCAAAATACATTATTGAAATTACAGAATTTGCAGAAAAGGGGATGACAAATCTTGATCCGGCCTGGATCGCTCAGAGAGTAATGATTGACTACACACATTTCAATGCAAGATATCACGCAGGTTATTATAGTGATGCTCAGGAGCTTCTTGATGATGCTGAGGCCTTGGACGAGAGATTTCTCGCCTTTTTTACAAACATACCGAAAGGGTGGGAATTCACAATAGTTCAGACGGAAAAAGATCCAGATGCTGTATTCGATGGCTACTATCACGTCTATTACGATCATTGGGTAGCTCAAATCTGGAATGCAATAAGGGAACTCAGAATTTTACTCAATGAAACGATCAGAGAGGTCTTATTGAAAGACTTTACTTCTCTGGTACCATCTTTACTTGGGTCCGAATACGCAGAGCGATTCCAGATCTGCACCGAAATAATCTACCACCTACAGGCAGAAATTCTTGCAAGTATACCGCAACATATGGGCTATGTTTCGAGAAACAGTTCGCATACACAACTCTGGAGTGGCTTCGAGAAAGATGGTTTTGGAACAGATTTCCCTACCATTAGATTTTCGGGTGGATATTTTTTGATCTGGCCACTATTCCTAGTAGGCAATTTGCGCCTGTCGACTCCAGAGGTTCGAGCGTTTTGTGTCAAAAACTTGCGATATATTGGAACAAAGATGGGGATTCAACATGCAAACCTTCTGGCTACTATTGTGGAACAAAAGATTCCTGTAACTGTATGGAACAAGCAGAGACCACAGTTCTCTGATAGAATCACGGATGGAGATTCTGCAAATCATTATGAGAACCAAAATCAGGGAATGGAGTATAGCCAGACCATCCCTGTTTAGGCTGTCAAATTTTGCTTCAATTCAAAGCTGGAGGTTGACTGCTCAACCCACTCATGGCAAGCGAATCATAGCGTAGTAATGATGGCATCTCAGCGTAGCTAGCAGTATGAGAAACTTCTCTTATTGCATGTCTCACGTTCAACATCCGCGGATTACCTACTAGGTAGGTAGTTCAATAAAAGATCGAAGTCAAAGCGGTCAAATCTGACAGTACAACGGTGACCGTGGCGGTGGCCCTGAGATGAGTTGAAACAAGAATTTCTGAAGATGGTAGAAAATGACAATCCTGGTCGAAGGATCCTGTGAAATCGTTTTGCTATACAACAGATATACCCTTATATCTTATGAAATAGGCTGGAAGAGCTTTCATAAAGCCCACAGTTGAGGCGGAAGTTTGGCAGCTCTGGAAATCTTTCTCATATGTGGATTCTTGCCGGGGCAGAGCCTAGATTCGATGCCCAAAGAGAACTAAGGAGGTTTTCCGAAGCTTGTTGTAGATACGTCATGAATAGGCAAAGATGGTCAATCAACTAGGCTTTCTGCCACACAGACCAATGCACTACAAAAGGAAAAGGTCATAGACTGTAACAATTTGTGGGTGGAATTTGTTTTTAAGGATAAACCGTGGGACATTTGTGGGATGACCTTACCCCGTAAATTGAGTAAAGCTATTTTCTGTTTAGTGTGAGGTTCTGTGTCTTTTCATAATGTTGTTCTTATTCTGCTTTTTGAGATATACACAATAATTATGAGTTATTCTTTCAGTCCTTGTCATGCTGCCACTTTCTGTTCTTAAAGCACGTTTTGGAATTCTTCCTGCAGTGGGTGTATGGATTGTATGGATTGACGGGATACTGCAAAAATGGACTCGTGAATATCTCTTGATATGTCAGATCATTTATTGTAGGAATTGTTACGATTATTGATTAGAGATGGAACAATAAATAAATAAATTCTGATATCAAACAATTGAAGAATGAATTTATTCAAAATATCGAAAGTTGGGAAGTGTCCCGTCAATCCATGCACCCACTGGTCTATGGTGGGATGAAATAAAAGGGACTTCAAGGAATTATGTTTATCCGGGATGTGTCACATTCAACTACATGTCATAAAAACTTGCGAACACAACATGATAATACTAGAGAAATGTCTTTTGGTACTGGCCGGTGTGCTTTGGAAATCATTTATCATTCACATATTTGGTCTTCAATTAATTTTTGTAAATGAACCTCTTATTAAGTAATCTTTATAAACGGGTTTACCTCCGCACCCTTATGACAAATGAAAACCCCCCCCCCATCAACTAAATCTATCCCCTCTCTAGGCAGAGAATAAGCGAATTCAACCACCGATAAACTTGTGCAAACAACAGAGGACCAGATGAGCCATTGATATTTCTATGGAACGATTGATGGATGATCTCTCAAGATTTTGACGAAGACTCTCCTCCCTCGACTTCATCCACAGTTCCCTATTAGCAAGTTAGTATTCAAGTTCCTATGTATAAAACTCAAAGAACAAAGAGCTTACCTTTTTATAATCATGGCGGATCTTTGCATCCACAAGCCCTTACATTGGTACATCTCCCTGTTGCTGTTCGATCTTCATGAATTCCGATGCGGCGTGGTCATCGATACCAGGTCTGAAAAATGTATATGCGATTTCAGTACGGTCGTGGCGCTCGATTCTACCCGCTTTTGAGTACCACGTCTCCATCATACGTTCCGGACCGTAATCGTTGAATTTACATGGCTTCAAGTACTGCAATACTACGTCAAACGGCGCATTCACACCATCTCTCATGATATCCGTTGTACCACAGATCAGGGGAGCGTTCCGAGCCTCTTCTGCAAGAATTACGTGGAAGTTACTATAGAACGACCCTCCAGGTGTGCCTTGAATGTGTGTGGATAATAGAGATCATCGAACTTCTTCCTTCCAAGCTTTTCATCAATCGCACTTAAATAGCTTTTCCCCAGCAACTCCGTCTCTTCTCGTGTATCGAAAAACACTAAGAAGTCCCTTGATTCCGGTACTGCCTCGCTTAGATTTGTACAATATCTCCAGATTGTGACGTGAATAGCTAAGAGTTGGTGAGACCTGTCTTCACAGTCGCCCTAGACAAAACCACCCGATATTTGTATCAAACTGGCAAAATCTGTTTCTGATACTGTAGTTCCCACTCTTGTACTCATCAAGCTTATCGTATGTGCTCAATAAGAGCTGATATCTGGATGAGGTGGGTGGAACGACTTGACTAAGAGCCATTTCTTTGTGCTCGTCCCAGAATGGTTCGAGCTCGAACTAATTGGAAAGATCAGTTAATGAGAATAACATGGACAAGGAAGGCATGGAGGCTCAGACCGTCGCATTAAAGACGAACAAAGAAATATGGAGAACAGTGCATGAACTGGAGTGGATTGCCGCTTCATTGAACATTGATCGAGGCCCTAAGATTGCCTGGGGACATCCAAAGCACCGACTCCGGTTCAGCTGGCCGCTGTAAATCCTTTTGCATCCTGCCGACGAAATATGTTCCTTCAGGACCATTTGGTGAGTATTCTTCTGTACCCAAGACGCTACTAGTCGGGCGCTAACTATTTGAAGGTGCAGGACAGATATTGGGATATGCGGTGCCAGTAGTCAACGAAGTGTTACTCGCACACATTGCAAACGAAAAGATCAAGGTTTCACAATCTACAGTCTTGAAACCAACTGTTTTGGTGATATTGCCCATCAATGCGCTGGCCAACGCAAGCAAAAGCCACGTTTGATAGGCTTTTGGAAGTCTTGAGCGGAAGATTGAATAAGACTTGAAAGCCCTTGTCAGCTTCAATCTGGTGGGGATCTCTACTAAGCATCTCCACCCAAGCCTTCCTCGCCGGCAGAAAACTTCCTTCTTTCACGAATCAACGAGGGACATATCCTTGAAAACATGTTGCAAGATCAAGCAGCAACCTCTGGGGTAAGTCCACGTTCCATCTTTGATTAATGAAGTGCCTTACTGACTGGTAAATAGAATATTCCCTCCTGTGCACATGGCAAGTGTGCTCATGGTGCTTGCAAGAGACATGCTGCGAACACCCTTGTATTGGTGCAAGGAGCTCATCTCGCAACCAAAGAGTTCTTGTCTTCACCTGATGCCAATCGGCGTAAGGTCGCTAAGAAGGTCCTCCACAATCAGGACAAGTTTCTGCGTCACAAACAGCTCATAGGTCGGAGCATAGAAGACTATCCCCGCTCTTCCTTGATGAGAGTTGGTCGTCGTTCCTTGAGTGATGCACTATATAAGATGGAGCACAGACCCCTCATGGGCAGGTTGATCGGCCCTCAGTAGCCATTTTAGCTAGTCTTTTCGTATAAGTTAGAAGCTTCGCTTCTAACTTCCTTTTAGATCTTCATCAATGACTACTATTTCCAATGATACTATCTCTTCAGTCCCCGTGCCTCACATTATGTAAGTTAAAACGTCCATCAATCCAGTCGCAATTCCACGTAAGATGTAGTCAAGTCAGAGTCTACAAATCCATTAATTGTGGCCCTGTAAATGTTTAACGTTTGTCCCGTCTTCGATATCTCCCGAACAATCACTGAAGGCGTCGATTTTGATCATTCTTCAAGGATCTTCCACCAATAGTACCCAGGGAAGTCCAATAGAAGAAGTCAAACCCAGGGTGTCTAATAGTCCGGACTGCAGTTCAACAATGAAGATTGTTTAAAATTTCCAAACTAATTAGGATATTCAAATAGTCTAAGATATCGAATTTGATTAGAACATTGAACTATTCTCAAAATTCTAATTGCTCTTAGATATTCAAGCCCTCATATTGTTGAACTACAGTCCGGACTATTGGATACCCTGGGACTCACCATCGGGAATACATTGTTTGATGAAACTTGGTGGAGCCTTACATTTTCCCAAAAGATAGATAGGAAGTGAATACAGCACAAGAAAATACAGCTGTTTTACTATCAGTCCATTTCATAAATTTTAGTGCTAGCTTGAAACGGACTCGGAAACCTCTTACTTGTGCTAAACTCCTCGAATTACCCACACCACTGCTTATATTCAGACTCATGTGTGATTCACAAGAGATGACCAGCATATGAGTCCCTGAATACCTTCTCGTGACCTAGATCCAGTGCCAGATAAGCCTTGACACCAAGTTTTACATGCAGCCATAAAGTGAGATTCGTCCTTGTAATTTGTTTCTCGTGCAAGCATACGAGCCTTTATTGTTTTAATAATGAATTTGAACTAAACGGTGGGGTGTGGGGTAACCGATATCCCTACATCGTGCACGTCCCTGTATCATGCACGTTTTTAAACTCACCTTACGACAATTTCAATATTTAATAATAAATACATTCAATAAGATATAAAGCTATAAGTTGTTTAAGATTATAATAAGATATAATAGATTAGAAAAGAAGATTTAAAACTTCTTTATTTAAACCTTGTAGGAATTTTGATCTGTTGGCCTTGTTTCGATTATATAACCCCCTCCCCTTCTTTTATTATTGATTTATTTACTACTATTATATTAAAGGGCTCTGTAACTTTCTTAAATATTAGATTTATAGTATATAAACCTTTTTGAAGCTTTAAATCTCTTTTAATAGGAGATCCTATTGATTTACAAACTCTTTTAATCTCCTCTTTAGTATCTCTTGCAAATTGATAATCTACCTCCCTTTGTGCTACTCTCTCTTTAACTTCAATTATCTCCTTTTTCTTTTTAGCTTTTTTATTAGCCTTTTCCTGTATCTTAGCTTCCTTTTCCTACTTTATAGTAAGTGTTTTCTCTAATTAAAAGATCCTAGCTCTTTCAATTTGAAAGGGGGAGTATAAAAAAGCACCACCAGTTTTCTTCCCTATAAGATTTAAACATTTGGAATAAGTCCTTTTCTTCTTTTCCATTTTTAAAGTCTTTTTTAGATCTTTTGCTCTATACAATTGAATATCAGTTTTAGCTGTATTAGCAAAGGTAGCCTTAAAAAGTTTCGAAGCAATCTCGAGATCTTGATTTCATCGAAATTCTAATTTAAGTCGATGTAGAGCTTTTGATATATATAGTGTCTTAAATTTATTCCCTATAAACCACATCGATATAGATAGTATAGTAGTTCTCTCTGGCTTTATGCTAGGTATAGTAGTCTTCTTATTAAATGGATGAATGCCTGCTTTTTCGAAGGATTGTAGTATATTATGGGATATTGTAGATTGAGTCCAAGCTACTTTAAAGATGGCCTAAAAGTTGCATTTCGATATACTAATTAAACCCTTGCTTTTATGTATCCAATTGTTGAGTTCTATATTATAATTCGTCGAAAGGGGGAGGAAGTAACCCACATCGAATGGTTGTAGTTGATGTGTAGAGTGAGGAGGCAAAATTAACAATATAATCTTCAATTTGTTGCATTTTGATATAAATTCCATATTGATATAGCTAGAATGACCATCTACAATCAATAACCAGTATCCTTTACCTACTTTTAGATATATATGGCATTGAAAGACTTTTGTAAGCCAATTAAGCCCAAAAGCATTAGATGACCACCCATTGCTTGAGGCTTCGAAATAAGCTTGATCTTTTATGCCCACCTCATCAACCCATGTATCTTGTAGATTGCCTGATTCCTTTTTATAGATTAAGGTAGATGGGAGAGTTATATCGTCAACAGCTATATATACTAAGAAAGTAATAAACTCTCTTGATCCGTCTTACTTAGCTTTCATAACTCTGCTTCTTTTATATACACTAGCACTTATTATCCTCTTCATAGCTCTCCCAAGGCTAATCAGAAACCCCTTCTCGTCCCAGTTGTATATGTTTTTCAATGTAATATCGTATTTTATAATCGCTTTTGCTAACTAAATGAATAAAAGAGAGGGGTTAGTAAAAGCTTTTTTAAGTAGTATAAATCAACAATAATATAAAATAATATTAACAAGATTATAAAAGTATTCAAATATATTCATATTATTGGCTTTAATATGCAAATTATCAATGCAACAAAGATATTGACTTTGAATACGACTTTTATACCGCTTGACGAAATTGGCTGTTCAGTTCTTCCCTACAAAGCCCTCTCTCATCTCTTTTACTAAGTTCTTAACTATAGCACTTATAGAAAGCATAGATCTTTATATTAACTTGTTAATCTGATTTAATAAAGCCTTCTCTTACTCTAATGAAAGATATTGATGTGTATCGGCATAGCTTATCTTGCGGGAGGTGGTTTTGCCTCTATGTCGTTTTGAGAGTGTAGTATGATCGACTCTGTATAAATAAGCTATCTGAGTATATTTAGAACATTCTTGGCCTTTAATATAATCTAGCGCAAGCTTCATACGGCTTTCTGAAGATATATTGTCGCGATATTAAGATGGTGATATTGATGTTTTTGAAAGCCTAAAAAGCGTGCACGATACAGGGACGTGCACGATGTAGGGATATCGGTTATCAGATGTGCAACATTTCACATTGTATACTCTATCGGAGAAGGGCGGACCATATGGTGGGGTGTCGATCTCAAGAATATTGAAACCGTGTATATTATCTATGAGTGAATGAAGCTTATGGAAGAAGACTCGGTGATCATGAGTGTATATATTCAATTGGTGTGAAAGCTAAAACGGCAAGAAACATAGAAAGGAGCCAGGTCTTGCTCTCTGGCAGTCTGGTTATTGGAATCGGATGATTCAGAATGAACCAGGAATATCGTCGTGGCTAAGCTAAATGGTGGGGTAGGAGCATTCAGATGTGCAACAAATTCGAGGAGGAAAATGTATGCAATAAATGACGGGGTACAGCATTTTAGATATATGGCACATCAACGGCCTTTAAACCACTTGCTTGAAGCCAAGCGTGAATGAAGAGCATAGCTATAGTTTTGGAATTACTCGGGCATTGAATTATTGATATGATCCTGACTCTAGTTTGTTCTCTTGTTCGGAGAACTGTTCACCTGATTATCTCTTAATGGAACCATGGAATTACGGAATCCGTTTATCACACCGAGGTTTTGCTGCAGCGGTTCCTTATTGAAGTAGCAAAGCGGAAAGAAAATATTGGAGCATGTTTGAAGACCCCAGTGAATGGAGTTCTCCCATCTTGGGATCGGTATCTTGAGAAGGGCGCGTGGGCGCCGTCTCAGTTGATGGCCAACGTATAGAAATCGAGTATCTCGCCCATTGTTTATACATATTTTGAGAGAAATTCTTCTTTTTTACTGTTATGAAGATTATTACCCATCTCTCAATTCCATTTCCTGAAACTGTGTTTAGAAAAAAAAAAAGGAAACCATCTGTAAGTGGAGTGCTTGTGTCGGTTTCAGAACGTTTTCGGACCGCAATCGCTGGATCTAGCTTCTTCCAAGTTACTTACCTAGTCTTCAATTCACTGTGACACTTATCATTGTCATTTCCAGCAAAACATTAACGGTATCCATGATAGATCATTTTCACCCATACAGTGAGATCTATCAATATAATGAGCTCTGCGCCATACTTTTTGTAGCATTGGCCGTGAAAACCTATGTATGAATAAACTACTACATCTCAACTACAACCTACAGAAGTGGTAGACTACATTCCACATGATGAAGATTGTTATATTACGAGAATTGCTCCTCAAATTACGCCTCAAATTGCGTCAGTCTTCGTAGTTTGAGAGTTCTTATAGGCAATAATCTCTTGAATATTCCGAAGTCATTAGTGTAATCTCACCTGGCCGCCCTTATTTTGACGAAATAAGCGAAATACTTTACTTTCGTTCCACGCCGATCACTACCGATTCCAAAAAAAATCGTTCATAAACATATCAATCACACTTCTTCATTTAGTACCAGAAAAAAAGATAACATGATTCCCACAGATCTGATAAGCAAAACCTTGCCGCCCCCTCGATGGGGTTTTTTTCCGTTCGTTCGTCGATTCGAGCCAGGCGTGTTACCACTCCACCACCAGAGCGCATTTGACCTGCACAAACAAGCCTGTTTGCTGCCTTTGCGCTCCGGTACTGGAAAATGAGTTATCGGTCCTTATATAGTAGTGATGTGTGTGTTTGGGGAGTGTTAAGTAAGTGTATGAGAAGGTATGCTGGAATTACAAAGGAAGTTTTCTATCACGAGGTGATGGCTTCCATAACAAGACTCGCAGTATCCATACTTCACGTTTATCGAGTATCGTTCGCAAAAGTTTTATTTGTCTCTATCATTCTCAAGAATGGTTTGAATCCTCAACACACACTCAAAGCTTGGTCTCTCAACCTTAACATTGCGCAAGAGAACCTATTCCGTATAAATAGAACTACCATTTCGATACTCACACAA